TTGGGGCTGGATGAATCGATACGTGCAATCGCGTCATCCAAGGTCGCAAGAGCATCTCGAAAATTTGGTCAGTGAAGCATGGCGACGTATCCCTACCACCGTTGTCCAAGGCTACATACGACGAATCAGCGCCATCGTCCAACAAATCATTACTGCTCAAGGTTGGGACATTGATGCGTAATATATGAACGAGGCTCCACTGCTATTGTATCAGAATACACTAAATAAAATACATATAACTATACTTGAACTACGAGTAATATCATTGATTTGCATTGCAAAAACGAAAAAGTTGATACTGTAAAGCAGTGCCCTTTACAGAAGCACGAAACCGAACCGAAGTCATCGCCTTGTTTCTCAACAATTTGTTGAAGTTTAAGACCAGTGATATGACGTACAGTTAGGCACTTGCGAGTAGTATCTATGGTAGAAATATGAGATCTAGATCGTTTCTTTTGGTCAACGAATTGTCAGAAACTAGGTGTACCGTTTATTTCCGTCAGGGGGATAGATCAATAATAAAATATCTTAATTTGTATAGTCTAATATCTTACTTCTGTCCTTAATACTTTATTAACAAATCTAAATAAAAATGAATGACTTTTAGTATACCATTTGGTTGAATCAGTCGATTGATAATCCGATATCGCGAATCGAACAGGAGCAATTTCTTGTCCTGAACTTTCCTCAACTTGTTTTGAAGCCGTGCTGTGACCAATCAATGCATTGAACTATGAGGAGTAGTTGACAGAATCTATTCGCTTCATCATTTGTTAGGTCATTTCTGGATGAAGCTGTAAAGCGCTGATGTGGTCGACGTCGATGCAACAGTTGTTTCTTTTTAACGACGCTTGTTCATATTGCTGAGGATCGTCGATATTCCTTCAAAGATTCAACGTCGAAATTAATGCAAATCGTTTTGCGATTTCACAACTTTCTCTCTCACAGTTTGTTTTTCTAACTGATATCGTCCGGATGTTTTATGAAGAATTTGTGGAAGGGATCAACACATGGAGAAGATCGATTCCAGGAACATCTTCCTCGAGACGAACTTTTTACCTTAGTAGATTACTTTTATGCCGTTAGAGAAGATCCTTCAGAGACAAGCATTTCACGTTCTCACTCGATTCTTTGATCGATGATTCGAACATCTTCGAGTCGAAACAAAGTTTGTGACAAATGATTGTTTTATTGAAGAATCCCTTTTCAAAGTCAAAATTTTAAATGCTCTTCAAAGAAGTTCTGCAGCTAAAACATTTTCACCTTCGAATGATCTGGTTAAAGGTCCAAGACTAACTGTTGTCCGCTCTCTCTGAAAGTGTTGTTCGCTCGATCAGTGTGTCAACAGGGTGTGCATCGGTAAATGACAGAGCGTGATTATGAGCGGGCAAACTATTGTTATTTCTCACGTTTTGTTCGTAAGATAAAACGCTAGCTAAGGTATAGAAATGCATTTGAATTTCCTAACCTTACTTAACTATAACTAACCCATAGATTTGAAACGAAACTTTTGTGGCAAAAATTTACTTTTACGGTGAAATTTTTCAATTTCCAGGAAATAGTGCCATGTATATGTATTCAGTGCAGCTCTTGCAGAAGCTTTATCAAGGGGGAAAGCAGGGAGTCCTAGAATCCTGAATTCTCCTGCATTCCAAGGATTCTCTATGATTTCAAGCATTCGTTCGGATTCCATAGGATTCCCTTGGAATCCATAAGCTTCCCTTGGATTCCCTGGAACTTTCCCCCAAAACCTAACATTTTATTCTGCTTTTGGAAGAAGTGTAGAATCCCGGATTCCACCAAATTCCACCGGATTCCATCGGAATTGACCAGATACCAACGGATTCTACTAGATTCCATAGAATTTCTGGATTCCGTGCTTTCCCCCTTAAGCTTTATATCCGCATTTATCCACATATGTCGAATCCGTTTGGCCCAAACGAGATCATCAATCTGCTGGACTGTCTGACGTTGGATTGCCTTGCCTCGTCGTCAGCTTAGGATACAACATAACTATTATATCGATGAAACTACGATCTTTTTATTGATTTATAGCTATTTTCAAAAGTTATCTTTAAGCACTTTCGGCAGTCACCTTCTACTTATTTCGCATTTCGGAGTTTTCAATGTGGACTTTGGTCTAAAGAGTAACAATTACTGCATAATTTACACTAAGTCGATGGAACAGTGCTTTTAATCATTCATTTGTTTTATATACTTAAGCCGAAGAGCCTATTTCTCTTATCTCAGCCGAAAGATGTCGGTCTGATAGACGCTGCAAATATTATGAAAAAAAGAGAGAAGCAAAATCACCACTGGCAGAAGGGACGGCGGAGACGTTATCGATTGAAAAACTAATAGCAACCCTGAGGCAAAAGGAAGAAAAACTTAGTCATCGCTAGTAATGGCGAACGAACGAATCCCTTTGGAAATAAACTGTGACAACGACAGAAAGAGACTGTAAAACGCCTAATCGTAAATATAACATCCTGGTTGCTATCGGATTCACGTGGATTCACACTTCAATTTTTTGACTGTAAGACTTATACATGAGACATCATATAGCTAGTGTGCATGGATAGAAGACTGACGATTAGCAAGACAGCAGCTCGAAAGAGACGAATAGTGCCGAGTAAGAAACAAAAACCTGCAAAATGGGTCCAACTGGACCCCTAAACAGCTCTCAAGGGTTAACAGATTCTAGTACAAAAACACTAAATTAGTAAAAGAGATGTGTGAACAGTAGATGCAACTCATATCATCACCCTAGGTGACGAAGAATTTCTATATCTTATAGAAAAGATTTATTTGTGGGATCTATCAAGGTAGACAACTGTCAGACACTCCCTACTGAACCAGAATGTCAAGTGGCAAAACCAACAAAAATGATTCAGCCAGTTCAATCAATATGTCAGTCATGTCAAGGGACAATTCGATGTCATGGATTCTAATCGAATTCTGAAGGTAACGAACACAAACATGTCGAGATTCTGCTTTGTAATAGTTTGAACCTAATAGTGTATCGACGAACAACGGAAGACTGTACTATGGATCAGTTCATACGACGACTTCTATCACTTCGAACAGCAGTGTTATAGATCCAGACTGTAGTCACTTTACCAAAAAAGTCCTAAAGGAAAGTGTGGGACTTTAACGACCTACCAGAATATGTTACACTTTGATGCGTGCGTCAATTGCTATGTAGAGCAAGATTCTCTCCGAGACTTTGCGATTCATCAACGGACATTCTGTGGGACATTCCTCTTCACAATCGGACATTGATTAACTGAGATGAATTTCATTTGTGTAAATACACTATGGCTGTAGTTGTGTTAATTATTGTTCTACAGGAAGGTAACTTCTGAGACTTTTCGTTTCATCTGCGGACTTTCTGCTCGAGTTTTCCTATTCACCATGCAATAAGCCCCACATTTTTTGGGTAAAGTGACTACAGTCTGGATCTATAACACTGCTATTCAAAGTGATACAAGTCGTCGTATGAATTGGTCCATAGTATGTAACATCAAATAGATATATCTTTTATATATCTTTCAAATATATCTTTTCTGTGACAATATCCATATATAGTATAGTCGAATACCACAATTAGAACACGAAAATTTTCAAGTTGACTCTTTCCTAATTTTTGAAGCCATTTCTAAAGGTGGAAAAAACATTTTTAGTTTGCCGAGTAGAGGAGAATCAGGGCTATCGATCTATGTAAAAATATTTAAGGTTCGTTTGCTTATTTCTTATTAATTAAGACAAGAATGAAGGCCACTATGAATTTCTTTTCTTTCCTGTCTATTCTAAATTAGAACACGCCTTGCATTTTCTATTCCTAAATAGAACACATCCATACATATACATGGAATTTTTCAGTGAATTTAGAAAAAAACTTGTGGGCGCTACCCAAAGTTCAAAAATAGTACTTATGTTTGCAACAAAATATGTTTGAAAAAGTCAGGACTGTATCCGGTAAGAAACTAGGATCTAAGAGACAAAGTTTTCAAGCATTTACACTGTTAAAACGATTTCCCTAGTTTCCAGTGCATCTTCCATTCTAAAAATTGATTCTAACTATTGATGTTTCAAACGGAAAGTTTTAAAATAACGAAATTAAATACGTTTCAGCCCAATTGTAGAATTGCATGAGTACTAGGCTCAATTTTAGATTAATCTCGTTAATGTCATCATCTGTAAAGATGCATAATAAAAAATATTCTGCTGATGATTTAAGAGCAGCTGTCAGTAGTAATCTCGATTCAAAGTCTGCTGAAAAACTGTAAAAAGTTCGATCTAGCACGATACGAAAACATCGATTAAATCCTTTAACAATCATCGGCGCTGGACGTAAGACATATTTGAATGAACAACAAGAAAGTTATCTAGTGTCATTAATCCAATTATTACCAGATTATGGATTTAAATGTGACAAAGATTTAATAATGTCAGTTGCAGTTGATTACATGAAGTCATTGAATGTTGTTGAAACACCAGGTCAAAAGTGGCTAAATCATTTTGTACAAAGACATAGCGATCAAGTCAAGTGGAAAAAGGAACAAAATTAGAGAGACCTCGAGCTGAAAATTGTAATGAATCAACCACAAAAGCTTGGTTTCAATTGTTGAAAACTGAATTGATTAAATTAGATCTTATGGATAATCCCGCACAAATTTTCAACGCGGATGAAAGTGGTTTTGCGGACAAGGCGAAAGGTTCGTGGGTGGTAGTTAATTCGAGTGTGCAATATGTCTTTGAAGAATCTGGTAGTACGGAAACAAATTATACAACAGCACTAATATGCATCAGCGCGTCTGGACAGGTACTCCCACCATTTATCATCAGCACTGGGAAAAATCTTATGTCGGCGAGGTGCCGAGGAGGTCCGAATGGTGTACATTATTCAGTAATACCAGAGGTATAGCGGATGCTTCCTCTCACTTACTCTCATTAATATTTCATGTTATATATGGTTATTTTAGGATGGATAAACGCTGAACCGTATGAGTACTAGTTTGAGAAAATTTTTATTCCATGTACTGCTCATATTAATCGGCCACTATTATTAATAATAGATGGCCATACAGTACATGTTAGTTTAAAGTTGATTGATTTAATGAAACAACATCAAATTATTTGTCTTATGTTACCACCACACACAACTCATGTGATACAACCATTGGACGTCGTCTTATTTAATAATGTTAAAGCGGACTGGGTGAGTATTAAACTATCGTTCAATCGCTTGTTACACCTGCTGATGGTTTCTACTACCCTTTTTGCAACTGCATCTCAGTCTAAATGTTACGTATTATCTGTTGAATTTCAGACGAGTATTGTCACAAATTTTCTAAAAAAGACCGGACGCAATGGTTGAAAAACTGATCCATAAGCCATATCAATCGTCCAAACCATTACCACCAAACATTCTCTTACCACAACTTCCATCGCCAGCAATTCAAAATTTGACTAATTCATTACCATCATTTGTACCATTACCAATATCTTCAATACCTGTGCCCCATACTATGAGCAATACACGACCTTCTCGCGCTCGTTCACCTTCATTAATATTAATTCCTGGAAAAAAACGAGTAATAGTTTCTTCTTCAACGTCCTCAAATCTAACAGTGAATAACAACAGTGTACTACCATCAAACCATCCACTACTGATTAATCCATCTCCACTATCTTTAACAGTCCTTAATTTACCCTCCAAACTTCTGTTAACAATTAAACAATCGTCTGCATCAAATCGAACTACCTTGTGTTCAACCACAAGTACCATGCATATTAACAATATCTCCTTCGTTACAAACGCGTATCCCTATTCACCCTGTTGCGCCAGTGTCACCTGTATTATCGAACTCGACATCACCATCGAATATATCAGTTGTTCAACAGAAAAGAAAACTAAAGAATCGTAGTTCTCAAGTAACAAAAAAGAATCGCCTGAGGAATTTAATAATTAATGAGAGTGATGGTTAGCTCAGTAAACCTATTAAAAAGGAAAATATTATTAATAGTCACTATTTCATTTTTTAGATAAAGAAGAACAAATCGCTCCAACTAACGCAGTACGTCAGGTGATTCATAATCTTCTTAGTCAAGGAGCACAACAACAACACGAGCAGAATCAATCAACTGAAAAAAAGGGACATTTACGGCTCAATAATTCATACGGTGTCAATCTTACTGATGCTGACGTTGCTTTAAAAATATACGTTAAATATACGTTTGCATACAGCACGCTTGATACGGGTATCAAACTTCAACTGAATCCAACGCCTTCGAAACGCGAAACAACAGACGAAAATTTTTTATATGTATTATGTCTAGGCGTGCAACGGTAGCAGTAAAGCCGGTAACGGTACTACCGCTACCGTCCTACCGTTACTATCGTTACTACCTCTACCGTTACCGGTACTACCCGTACCGTTTTACCGATCACCGTAGGTAACCTTTTCCGGATAAAACCTATTGTAAAAAATCACACAGTTACAAATGTAACTTAACTCAATCTTCAATAACTCATAGACACATCGAAGAATCAAAATTCGTGAACCTTAGTAAGCCGAAATTAGGTTTTGCGAGTTGCTCAGGCTTCATCCACTGTTTATGTAAAAACAAAATTAAACAAAACCATTATTTCTTCTTCTTATTTGAGACTGCTTAAGCCAATAAAATGTAGAGAAAAGTAAAACATAGAATAAAGCATCAAAATCTGTTACAATAACGACATCGTCATACGCTCTACAGAATTTTAGTCTCTCTAGAATAGATACTATCTGTCCGCAATGAACGATAAAACCTGTGGATCGATAACGGCAGTAGAACAGTAGCGGTAGTAACGGTAGAACGGTAACAGTAGTTACGGTAAACCGCTCAACTACCGCTACCGTTGCATGCCTAATTATATCAGCATGCCAGTGCCGTTACACGCTCTTAATTTAATCAGCGAGCAACTTGCAAAATTCCTCAATGACTCTCAAAATCCCTCAATGGCTTCATCTCAACTTAACGATTCGGGAGTGTAGAACCATGTTTACCAAATACTAACGATAAACTATTAACTAATGTTACACGTCAAACTTCGGTGACTAGTATCCCGAGCTCCTTTACCCTTGAATGTAGCAACTCTGTCGGCACAACGGATACCGATATTCCTAATCAGCGTGACCTTAAGCGAACACTTTCTAGTGATAATGATTACGAAAACGAATCTAAATGGAGAACATGATCGTACCCAAGATATAAATTAACTTTTTGGCATCACCGTGTTACAGTTGTACTTTTCATATACGTATACTTTTTTTATTCTGTTCAAAACAAATACAGTACTTTTCATATTAGCGCAGCCTGCACAAAGCACAACTTCTGACTTAACTTCCGCAATTCGTTTGCTGATTCTCCCGAGAACATGACCAAACTGCACCCGCCGCGGACTCATATTTTCGGAACATCTAAGCTAGTATACTTTTTAGTGTTTTGCTTCTAGTATGCAGTATAATCAGTATTTAGTAAACAACTTAGCCGTTTGTTTCATATCTCGGTCAAAAAGGCATACCACCCCAAATCCTTTGGACATTCTTCTCGAAGTAAAGTCAGAGTAAAACATCATGCAAATACTGCTGAAAATGCATCAGAAAGGGACTGGCCTGATCTGAGTAGATCTGCAATTATAAATTTCTAGATGTTCAGATGTTCTGACAAACATCAGGGAAGAGCTCACTCTCATCCCAGAAGTCTGGGATTTCAAATCAAACCGTTTGTGTGCTTTGCGTATACGCAGGTTTGCTCATCACTACTACCACTACTACGTAGGGCGCGGAAAACGTAAGCGAAAAACCTTGACATAAACGAAAGACATAAACGAAAAACGGACAAAAGAAAAAATAAAACACAGGTAGCCAGTCATTTTTACCTGTATACTGTGTTGTATATGCTTATTTTTGTTTTGTTTGTTGTTATATTCAGCAGTAACACGTTATATTAGGTAAAAATCTATGTACTGTTTGAAGGCACATGCTTTTTAGAAAAAACATGAAATTTAGCGTTCTAGAAGCAGTCGGTATATAGTTTGTAAGGCAGTCTAATTATACAGCCCAAAACTATAAATGACAGATAGCAAACAAAAACGGCAATTAGCCAGCTGTTCTGCTGAAACAGTTCACTACTATTTGACGTCTTTCTGTGTCTTTGTTCATAGTAATGTCACATCGAAAATTGGACCAGCACCAACGTCTCAGTCATCGCGAAAATATCCAAGAAACTAGTAGTCAAGAAACTGGTAATAACGAACGACGTCGTCATTCCCGTTTACATCCAACCATTGTCATTGATCATTTGCGTACAAAATTAATGCAACCAAAACAAAAGTCTGTGTCAGACATCGAAACAACGAGTGAATGGCCAAAGTCACAAAAGCGTTTTTCAACTCAAGTTGATGTACGATCCTCATTTAACACAGATGTCATCTCAACTTCAAGCACAATACCTGATATTCCATCAGCCGTTGAAGAAGAAACTCAGTCACAGTTGAACACACCTGTGCCAAAGTCAAATTTTGGCCAGTCGCCATTTCAACCAACTGTGAATGTTGTTGTACCAGCTGTTGAAGAACCATCATCTCGTGAATTAACAAAACTAAGTAAAGGAGAGCGTGACTCAAAGAAATCACGTCGTGATAAATCGTGGTCATTGACTGATGAAGCCGAGTTACACGAACAAGAACAGCATAAACAAAAAGTTAAATTATCAGTCAAGTCATTGCCGCCGACTCGGACAACAAATTCTCAAATAATGGATATAAATCCTCATACAACTAATGGACAGAATCATCATCAAAAAGATGCCACCAAAAGACGACGGCGACAAACATCACGAAGAACAGTAAGCGGATTGAGGAAGGAGAGTTCAAAGATGTGTTGTACGTGTCGTTTCGTTTTCTAGGGTTTTCAAATACGTGATGAAGATTTTAAGATTATATTTGGCAAGGATCTGGCGGAAAATGAACAGCTGATTATAGGTGAGTGAGTAGATAAAGTCTATGCACTTCTTCCATCCTCATTTTGTTTTTGTTGTAGCTTTTCCATGTGCATGGAAAAAAGATAACTCTGTTCATTTTATACACGGGCGTATGTTTCTATCACAAAATTATTTATCATTTTATACGTGTTTTTTTAAATGGGAAGAAAGTGTACGTATATTTTTACTCTCACTTTGTCTTTTTTACACCTTGTCTGTACCTTCTATTAGCTCTGCCTTAATTTTCGCGATATCATCTCTGTGACAAAAAAAAAAGCAACACGACATTTGCTTCCAAATGCAATTGAAATACGTATCCAGAATTATGAACGACGTTATGTATTTGCTTGTTATATATCAAGGGAAAAAATTTATGTATCAATTTTTAGACTTTGGCAAAATGCATTGTTGGAACAGGTGCGCGGAGTATTCCCTTCACATCAGAGAATTAGGTATTTTTGTCGCGCTGCGACACAATCTGCGTGGTTTTTGCTTAAATTTTTGTTCACTTATTGCCGCTTTTTTTCTTAACTAATGAGTGAACCAAAATTTAGCTCAAAATCACGTAGATTGTACCGACATTAGAGAAGAAGTCGAAGTAGAATTACAAGGAATCCGCTGTCGGATTCACCGACAAATTCTACATATGCCATCTTATTTTCATCAAATCTGGCAAAAGTATCTAATTCTTTAATGCTTATTTTGATAGAGACTGAAAGTCTCTTTGTTTGTTTCCTAGCCCCTGAATTATCATGAATTATATCAACTAATTCATGCATCATCATCATTTGAATATACGGATCAAGAACAAGAACGGAATAGTTGTTCAACGGATAATGAGGCAGATGAGGATGTCTTTCAAAATGGAAATGAAACAACAACTCACGATGAACATCAAGAAAATAATTATGATACAGTTATTAATGAGGTAAAAAAGAATAAGAGATGCTTTTATAGCCTATTCAGCGGTAAGAATTTCCTCCCAAAAAACCATTAGGAGATATCCAAAATCAGTCTAACAATGTGCAAATATGCATTTTTTTCATCAGGCGAAATACTCGCCAAATGAAGGATTGTTTTTCACTTGAAATCTACGTTTTTTAGGATATAACTCATTGCTGATTCGGATATGATTGTCATTATTAGGGTTTCAGCGAATTTTCTGAGGGTCTTTGGGACATCGGGGCGCTGGAACTTCGGTCTAGAAAGCAGTTTAGAAGTTTTCACTGAGTAAACGTTTTAAGTTATATCTCCTTCTTGCACACAAACAAACGACCCTGAAATTTTTCGAAGTTTATTTCTCACACACAGCCCGGAAATCTTTCTGCTAAAGACATTCCACTACTGGCGTTTATATTTCAAAATCCCCAAAACTAACAAATAGACGGCTCAATTTTGAAGGCTCCACAAAACGGCTAATTCAGGGATTTTTTATAATTCGCGATTTGAGCTGACTGCTCTGGAGACCAGATTTTCTGCAACCCTATAAAAATCAAAAAATTTTGACTTTCGTATTTTCTTCCGTTACCAGCCAAGCCATCAAAACGGTGACATTACTCAACAATTACCTGCACTGACAACACCAGCAATAGGTAAGCAGCTTCTGTTTCCTTGTTCTATATAACATTTTTCATTCTTTTACGTTTTCTTTCAGTTCAGTCACCACCGACAAAGTATCTTCCGCATTGTCCATGTGAATCTCACTTGGAACATTTATTTACTGATAAAGTTCACCCTTTTTCAGTTGATCAACTTTGGGCTTATAATTTCGGACCGGAAAATGAGTTTTTACGATCTTATCGAATCAGTCAAAAATTGGCAGGTACGGCTATGACATTTCCCTTTCATTGACAGTGGAAGAACGAGTTTTATCCCTTCATTAAGACTACCATGCAACTGAATGGCAACTGAATTCAAACACTCATAAACGTGAACGACAAGTAACGTACAAGGCACAAGCAACATCAATCTTTGGAACAGCTCGTTTAAATTGCACAGAAAAACAGGTCATTTTCAGCAAGAACAACGGCTAATTTCCGATCTTTGTCAATTAATGAAAGTAGTAAAGAACAGCAGCAAGCTTTCAGAAAAACTAAACAACCTAATCCTATTGAAAAGCTTTATTTTTGGATAAGCAAACGAATCTAAAAATCTTTCAATAACACTAGAAAATAGAGCAATGATTTCTGATCAAAATGAGATATTTCCCAGCTCTGAAGGATGTTCTAATCAAGAATTATGAAAATTTTACCGGAGTTTAATTAGTCCTGGAAGGAAGAAGGTCTTCTCCTGACATTATTTGAATCTTAAAATAACTTTTTCATCTAATGTCCACATGGTTGCCCACTATGGAAGGCTCAGTCAGTTTTAGTTTATGCTTAAAAATATTTCTACGGAAAGCCCTGTCGTGATGTAGTTCGATGTAGTTTCTTGCGCTGATTCTGGATATGTCATTGTTAGTAAATAAAACGTTTCTGAGTCGATATAAATGGAAAACACCTGAAAAACCATGGTTTTTTGGAAAATCTTCTGTATACTTCAGAAACATGTGCACTAATTTGCGCTAACACAGATGAGAGAGAGAAGCCAGAAGAATATTTTGTCAAAGTTTGAACGAGTTTCAAATTGGGATGTGAAGGGGGCGCTCACTTAAAACACGTGTTCGAAAAACCATTTAGGAAAAGCTTTTATTTTTTTCTCAATAATATCAAGTCGAAATTAAGAATTTTTTTACTAACTGATATTAAACGATGTGCAGATTCGGAATCTACAGTTTATTTGGTTACTAGTTTGTTCAGTTTTGTAAAAATTTCATTTTCTTTTTATCCCATCAGATACAGCATGTTTCGCAGTATATTTATCGCTATTTGAATCAATGAAAAGCAGACTTTCGTTTTTTCACCTAATGTCCGCCGGGATGCAGACTGTGCCCCAAAGGGGCAGTGGGTATCTTTTAATATGTTATTCAAAATTTTGAAAACAAAGCGGGTCATTTTCACGTTATTAACCGATTTGTTTCTGATCTTCGTTTCAAACTTAGAAGAAAATAATGTCTTTTCTTCAAAGGTTATTGATTTTGAAATACCGCATGTTTGTTATGTTGTTAATACTGAAGTTTATAATGAAGGTATGCGTTATACAGATACCTTTTATGTGGCAAATAAATTTTGTTTAACACAATTAAATGCTGATGATCCATTTGTTAAGTCACAACTGAAAGTTAGCACTGAAATACGTTATGTTAAAAATGTTAATTCATTTATCAAATGTAAGCTTTGTGCTTTCTTTGAACCCATTTTTAATTTTAGTCTTCTTTTTGTTTTGTACAGCATTTATCGAAAAAAATGCCTTGTCATCAGTGGGAGAAGGAATCAATGAATTAGGTATAGCTTTTTTAGTTGTATATTTCTCTAAACGAAGCTCTCTATTTATGCGCATCTCTTTCGTTAGTCCGACGTCTGGATGCTGAAGTGATTAAAATGGATGCGAATAGGACGGCACCGCCAAATGATGATCATGGAAAAAGCAGACGAAAAGTAGTGAAGAAGAAAACAGCAGTACAACAATGGACAACTAACGATGCAATAGACGGTAAAGCGTAGCGTAGAGAGAAATAGTATCTCAGTCAGGAAGACAACTACCGTGTGAGATGAGACAGTAGATTTGTGGGGACTTTTAGTGGTTTTTTCTGGATTTCAGGATTTCAGATCCATAAATCAACTTTTTTTCTCCTTCTACTCAGTTCATCATACAGACATTTTCGCAAGTTACTTATATGTTAGTGCGTCTGATCACCCGTCTAATAGCATACTCACTATGGTGTGACGTACACTACAGCTTCGCCAGCTAGTCCTCCCGACTTTTCGGAAAGCTAGTACATGGTTAGTGAAGTGTGTATGGGGAGCTCAAATAAATGGGGCGAAAGAGCTTTGCGTTATGCTAACCTTCTGGTTAGAGCTGCAATTGATGACTAATAACGAGATGGGTGATCATTTCAGAAGCTTGTCAAGTGCAGGAAAGATATCGGGCTATTGAAACTGCCACAGCAGTATCCTACATAGGTAACAGTAGCCGCAGGACAGGATATTCTTCCTCTTCTTTTTTTCACTGTTCATTCAACATTTTAGATCCGCAGACTACTTCTGATAGTAGAACCCACCGTCATCATCACACTTCAAGAGAACGATTATCAGCAGCGGCAACTGAACCACTGTCGAATAATTTAACAAATAGAAAATTATTAAAAATATTTATGTTTGTGTAAGTAAATTAAAATCGTTCTTGTTTTTGAAAAGAAACTTGTTCTTGCCGTTCAATTCTTTCATTTGACTCTTAAATGATCTCTCTACTACTTTTAGAGCTTTGTCATTAGCCATTGTCCATATTTATTTGTGTTATAAACTGAGTCAACTTGATTTATTAATAGATAAAATTATTATTAATCCAGAATTTTTGCAAGTTTACCTTCTCTATATTTATCATCATCACTATTTTACCCGTACCATTTTATTTTAGGAATAATCCAACTGTTGGACTGGATACTAATTTGTTAAGAGTATTTATGGAAAAACAAGAAAAAGTATATCATAGAAAATTAACATTAGCATTAAAACAGCATCTGGTGTGCCAGGAAAGATGTATGCCGCCCACTTATTCTTCAAAAATGATTTCACTCTTTTTCTTTGTGTTAGGTTATAAATGGGTGATAGAAAAGAGTAAGTTAACCGCCGATGATGATACATCACATAACTTAGGATTGTCGATGACAATGGAACAGAAGAAAGATCTAAAAGTGGAAATGATTTCTGCAAAAAACAGAAGAAAAAAGTTGTAATAATAACACTTTTGTATCTCATTATTCGAGTAAATCAATATTGGAAGTTATTCCCCTGACTTTAAAAGTATTTTAAGACTTCTAAATTGTTACGCTGAAAAATGTGTATATGGCCACAGGCTATATAATTTGGCTGTGTTTAGATTTTCGTTTTTTTGTAAATAGAAAAGTACGAAAATAAAATAATTTTCTAATAAATTGCGTCTGCTTTTGAATTTTTGTTGTTTGTCAGCGAAATTTCTTCAAAATTAGATCACTCGATGCATTAATATCTGGTTATTTGAATGATATCATCGGTTTGTGTTTGTGATATTTATGTGAGGCGTTAATCTGTTTTACTTTAACGTTCATTTGAGTATACGAATAATCGATCTGATGAATATAATATCTGCGTAACATCATGTGTTTCTGAAGATTTCATTTTGGGCTATCAGTAAAGTCAGACGGTGTCCTCAATTTGACTAATTCACCTCTGTTTGACGGTAATGCGAATGATATGTCATCATCTGATGCAATGCAACGGTTAGACTGTGTTATTGATGATGATCCATGTGTGTATCATGTTATATATGTTACTCTTCGTCCGATCGAGAACAAAGTCAAGGAACTGTGTGATGCACTACGTGCTTCATGGTATCTTGTTTTACATATTTTTATTAATTAAAACGAAAAAACAATAATTTAAAAGATAGTCATCTCAAAATTCTTTCATTTTCAAATGGATTTGTTCATTATTCAATTCTCAACAAAATCTGTAAATGGGAGATCTGGATATCTTATATACTGGTAGAATCAGCCTTGACCGAAGGTATCGACGTTATTGGTACCCGAAATTATAAAGTTAAGTCAATTTTCGTTTAAATTGTTTGTACGGGAGTGAATCAAGTTTCTCATAAGAAACTTGCAAGAATCTTACAAGAATGTGATAAGACTTCCCACTGGAAAATTTTGAAACACAGAAGCGTTTAAAGCGAGCGCGAGCGCAAATTTTTTAAGAAGAACCAAAGACCGCACGCGCTTTAAATGCGTCTGTGTTTTAAAATTTTCTAGTGGGTTTTATAAGAATATGATAAGAATAACGTAAGAGTGCTACAGATTCTTATCAATTTCTTACGAAAGCTTATGTGAATCTAACAAGATTCTGATAAGATCCAGCGGAATTCTTGTCACTTTCGTGGAAGATCTTATATAAGAATTGAGTAAGGTTCTTATAAGTTCTTAATTAGTGCTTTTAAGATGCTTATATGCTTCTTTGCTTACAAGATTACTATAGGGCCATGCTCAATCGATGTCTCTGATTTGCTTCTAACTAGTTCTATCTTGTTCAGCCTATGCGAAAATCTATAAATCCCAATTTTGAGCCTTCTAGCACTTTTACTTTCTGAGTTTTGGACGGTTTTCTAGAGTCCACTTGATGGAAAATTCAGCGTCTAAAAAATGGAGAGCCAAAATAAAGATTCTGTTTCTCAACGAAGACATGCGATGGAAGGGGGATTTTTTCATCTTATATGGTCCATTGCATGGTCTATCCGATAATACGATCAGATCGTTTTTACCTCGAACCTTCAGCCCGACACCGAAGGTCTTCTGAGGATCTTAAGAGTTTATATTGTATGACGCCGTTCTTGAGCGTGTGGCTTAAGCATAAAACAAGAAGCCCTTTTCATAGACATTCAAGTATAGACTATCTGAATCCGGTCTCAAAAGTTCGGTGTCTCGCAAGGATCTCTGGAAAACCTTTGGAAGTTTCTAGAAGCCCCTTAAGTTTGGCAAATAAATTTTTAATTTACATAATTGGAAAGAGCACAAAATTCCCAACAAAATGAGGTATCACTCATAGTTTCCAAGTCTTAAACTCGACAACCTAAAAAGTAGGTTTTTACAGTAATCCATCTTTGCTCGAACATCTGTTATTTTTTCATCTTTTTAAAGTAATTGCTAAAATCATGAGCAATACCTCACTTTGTTCCGGATATCTGAACATTTTTCAGAATATCTAAAAATTAATTTCACTTTGAGTTTGCATTACGCGCAGCTTAGATAAATTAAAGAGTAATGACATGGAACGCGATAGACTGCTTAAACGGTATAATGAATTTTATTCTATGTATGAAGAAGTAATTCAAAATTATATTGTAAAACTGGATCAGAAGAAAACTGAGCTTGATCTTGATCCATTAGTTACAGAGATAAGTCGTCATGTAGCGTAAGTTAAACATAGATCTAATACCATTGCCTGGAATGCTTCTGTGAGAAGTAAAATTCCACTTGATAGGTCATATTTTTGCTTTATGGACTCTTAAAAATACTCAGTATTATAATGAGATGAGAAGAGTCGAAAATAGACGTACCTATCTATTACAACCTCATCCTGCTCAAGTCACTTCTATCTTTCGTATTCTTGGTATTAGTTATAAGGTATCAGCAGAAGTAATGGGAGTTTCCGTACCAGGAATATCGAGGAAAGGAGATGAGTTGATGATGAATGTAGTGCAAATTGGTACAGGTGACGGTAAATCAGTGACCTTATCTGCTACTGCTTCAATTTTAGCCCTATTAGGTATTTGCGATCATCACCACGTGTTCGTGCAGTAACTAACTCGGAATATCAGTTAATATAACAATATTAACGGCTTTAATATGCAGTGCTGTTATTCTTATAAAAAGTAATTGTGTTCAAACGACGATAGCTGGAGAGCTGGGACTTCCATAATTTTGTAGAGTAACGGCCGGACTACCTACGCATGCGAAAAAATTACTAACATTGTGTGTTAGTTTTCTGAGAACGGAGCTGGTTTTCCAAAGATCCTCTGGAAAATCGGACTTTCAGAAACTCTTGAAACAAGTTTTTGCTTACAAAAACATGTCTTAAGGTCTTTGTAACATGATGATGAAAGCCGCAGGTCTCCGTTTCATTCCTGTCGAAAGTTATTCAAAAAACAACGGAGTCCATTCTATTTTGGTACAGACAGTAGTCGGTCGGTATTTAGACAAAAACGCGAGTAGAAAGCCAAAAAAGCATGATGTTATATTCATGCTCGAATGAGCATGAAACAGAAAGGTGTGGTATATGATTTCGATGCATGATGATATTTTATGAAAAAAGAATGAGAAAGGATTACAGCATAAATATTTGATTGTCAAAAAAACGCCGATTTTGTTTGGTAAGTACAGCTTCGCGATGGAAGTCATAATAAGTTTTGAGAAATGAGTGAACTATTGTGTTATAGAAATTTGTATTTGTAGACTAATTTCAGACAGAGCTACTGAATAAATGTACGTTTAGTTACTATGCTGTTCGATGTTCATGTTCATCGCTCTACACTTGGTAGCGGTAAAACAAAATCGAGTCTGTCCAGACTACGGCTATCTTCGGCCGAATATGCCGTGTAATAACACATGCACAAACGATTCGCAGTGTCCGAAAAAGACGGAGAGATGCTGCTACACTCCTGGCAATATGATACAGCCATGCGAAACTCAGTGCTTGTTTGCGAAAGAAAACGTGCCGAAACCGCATTACTGTCCTATAAACAGTAGCAACAGTAGTCGATGGCGCTTGTGCGATGGACACGACTGCGATGTCGACAATGATTGTAAAAACATTAAAAAATGCTGTCGAAATTTATGCGGCATGACTATTTGCATAAAACCAATACCGTTGCAATTACCATCGAGTTTTTTCTCAGTTTCTGAAATTTCAAAAATTCAGAATTAGCCATTCCAGGAATCCAGAATTAGCATCAAGAATTCCGAAACAAATATCAAGCTTTTTCTTAATTCAAGAATTGAAATCATTTGTTTCCATTTCTAGAAAGATTCAACAATTCAGGAGTTAAACAATTCGGGAATAAAGATCAAACTTTTTCTTGAGAAAATAAGAAATATAACACTGCTATGAATATTATTTTTAATAAAAACTTTTATTTACTTGCGAGCCTCTGACATCATCTTCAGGCTAGCTAAAATGAAACATTTACAAGATTTATATACGAAAAGACTAATCTAATTTTTGTTTCTCGCTTTGTTCCCGAAAAGCATGTTCGTTCTTTTCCTTTTCTATTCATATGTTCACATGAACATAAGTACCGGCTGGAAAACTTGTGCCCCAAGGGTACAATATCATCTGAAAACTCGAAGTTGATATTTAGTGTCATTGAATGCTTTTTCTCCACTGTTGTCTGTAAACAATCTTTCCTTTATTATACGTTGTCTCCAATTAGTTTCTAGAGTCATTGTTTCAACGTTACCAATATCTTCCGTGTGATTATTTTCATGTGTATGCTTAGCTAGTTTTGAGCTTTGATGTTTCTGTCTAACTGATCGTTCATGATCGGTCATACGCATACTACGTGTTCGTATAGTTTCACCGAAATAATATTTATCACAATCCTTACAACTGATTTTATAGACTAACTTTTTCGTTAATTTGTCCGGAGCATGCCCTTTTTGAAGAGGTGACAATATATTTCGTATCATTGAATATTTTCGAAAAGAAAAATTCAATTTAACATGAGGCAATAGTCTTCGACAAATCTTTTTAATATGTTATGAAAAAATAAATGTTTCTTGATCATAATAAGATTATACAAAAAATACCGTTTTTGATATCTTCTTCTGTTGTGACTGTTGTGGCTGTTGCTAGATACGTTTTATTCCATTGACTGTAAGTCTATGGTCACACGAAACAGAGATGGAAGAGTACGAGTATACTCGAGTACAAAATTCGTAGTACTCGTACTCCTATTCGGGACCTTTTTTAACGAGTATTCCAAAAAACATGGGTACATCCGTGCCGATTTTCTATGGAATCAGATAAGTGTATTTGTACCTATCCTAACTACGAGCGCTGACTGAAGGGACGCGTGAGCATTGTCTGGAATTCAGAAATATTTTTAGATCCCTGGGGTTCTTTGGGGTCTCGAGAAAACTTCTATAGATTTAAACTACCTTATGAACCCGACACATCAAATCAGAGAAATATTCATAACGCATTGTAGATAGTCCCTAGCGAACGCCGACCGAAGGTAGATGTGACCGTTGTGTTCTGTTCAAAGTCGTGGAGGATCGTTCGCAGATGGAAGTTCCCAAAGTCAGGGAAGCGATTGCGGACGAGCGTTACGTTGTTTTCTCACTCATGCTTAAAAAAATGTCTACTTTTCTTCCTTATTTATATTGGATTATCTATGCTATATCTAGCAGGCGTTTTTCCATGAATGTTGCGCTCACTTGGGTTCCGTTATCAAGAGTAAAAAGACTGAGAGATTTGCTAATATTACGTCCATTGTTTCACAGATAAAACTAAATCAAAGTACAGAGACTAGATGAGCTACACAAATTGACTAAACAACGTTATGATGCTTTCAAACTTTTGAGGGTCACATAACTTGTGAACTCATGCTGATTTGATAGACTTGACTTATATTCCATACTTGGCTTTGAAACGCGTAGTCACTCTGATAAACTTTTCTGACCGGTGAAAAGCTATAGCAACCACATGTGTAAACTAAGGTGGAAAATATGGACGTTCTCATCGTAAAAAACATCGCTCAGTTCTGTAGTAACAAGATCGAGTTACAACAGGCTAAATAATACTCCCGACAGTACATTCATTCGACTTACAGGGAATGGACTTGATGAATCGATGCGATTCACGTTATTTATGATTATGTCACCTTCTCTAATACCACGTTTGATAATATGTGGTGGATAGCCGCTTGATGCTAATGTTAGTTTTAATCGATCGATTTCGATTTTAATATTTTGTGGCGTTGTACAAATTCTCATAATACTAGTAACCAATGTTTTTCTAAGCCCAAGTTTATACTTCCAGGATTGATTCGATTCATATAGCATGTACAAATCAGTGTGAGTCAGTTTACGGTAAATAGTTGTTGTGTCATGAATAACTGGTACATCCAAAAAGGGTTAGCGTTGATTCGATTCAAATTCGAAGGTAAATTTAATATTTGAGTGCCAATTATTAATACATGCTAAGAATTTGAGGATTTCTGGTTGAGTAATGGTGAAGACGCAGAATATATCGTACATAACGCAATCACAGGATAGCCTTATTCGTAGAGAAGCTATTTAACTTGAATTCTACCTTGAATATAAACAGATCTGCTGAGATCGGAGCTAGAGGACTACCCATGACCACTCCATCCACTTGTATATATCGATCGTTCTTAAACCTGAATGGTACGTTACATACGCATAAATGGAGTAACTTTTTCATTTGTTGAACATTTGAAGAGAAAAGGGACAAGAATGAACATGCTTCTCGGGAACAAAGCGAGAAACAAGAGTTAGATTAGTCTTTTCGTATATAAATCTTGTAAATGTTTCATTTTAGCCAGCCTGAAGATGATGTCAGAAAGGCGTCGAAAGCTCGCAAGTAAATAAAAGTTTTTATTAAAAATGATATTCATAGCAGTGTTACATTTCTCATATTATCCATTATTTATTACTACTCTACCTTCTGGGTTTAAAGCTTTTTCTTAATTCAAGATGGTGCTAAAAGGTTCTTATTTTAGTACAGTTCATAGCGGGAGAACCAAGTTTTCTGAAAAATTTTAGTACGGGAGGCCACAGTGACATCGTTTTACAATTTTTAAACGCAATATCCATCATCAGGCAGGCAGGTCGTACTAGTCCTGTTACTCTTTAACTATTCGGATGAAACCGATGCCAATTATGGTACGTATTCTGAGAATCACCCCCAATCACATGTCAAAGGCAGTACTGCGCTCTAATATATAGTGCGCGAGTTAGCCAGCTATCGATCCCCCATCGTCTAGGAGGATGAAATAAAAGCTTTTGCTCGAATTAACCGTAAATATACATCAGACTACGTAATTTTTCAAGCTGATCACTAATATACAGTTATAATGAATATAAATCATATTTTAAGTGTAAAAATTCATTTAAAATGTTTAAATTGGATTTTTCTACCCTACTTATTCCACTTTCAAACTTCTAAAAACCATCTGTCAAGATAGAGAATTAATTTTCTACAAAATGAACTACTTTTAATGAAGAATCGATGCTTTTTATAAGTGTAACGACTTTTAAGTGGTTTTTGAAGAAATCTCAAAGAAGCTCTTTTTAGCACCAGTTTTAGGCAGAAGAAACATATGCCTTGTATATAATTCTTAAACTAATTATAAGTAAACATCGATCTAATATCTTGACGGTTTCTTATTGGCGTAATATCCAACAAAGTAACATATTCAAAGCTGAAATCTGTAATGAAGTCACGAGCCGATCTGCTCAAACTTCAGAAATTGACATTAAAGATTGTCAAGATATGTTCCAGAAAACTACTCGCGGTTTTTACATATATGAAATATATAAATGATATTCAAGTCTGTGTTTCTTTGGCGTTTAATAGTAATACTAAACACAATTTAACATATGGTTATCATAATTTTTTCACATCGATTTATTCTAACAATATAAAAACATAAACGTGCCTAATCTCACCAACATCGTACTTTTTAATATTCATTTCAACATATAAGATCAATGCACCAATTACAGAACTATTAGAGCATTAACTAATTCTTCTCTTTCACTCTCAAATACCTACACTTTCGAGTGAAAAAATCATGATGCAAGTTTACACTGTAGTGTTTATGATTATGGTTTCGACCATACTTAGTGACCCTATGAAAAATCTTGCTCAAGACATTGTTTTTAGTAATAGTGCATTAATCAAATTATCATCATCGAATATCCTACCCGATTATCCAGTAGAAGACTATACTGGTATTGATCTGGAGAGAATAAAAAAACAAATGCCCATGAAAAATAAAAGAGAAAAGGTAAGACAAAAGACAGAATTATCTTTAACAGTAATCTACGAAACTTACTAGAACCTGTTAAATTCTGTGAATCTTCATCACATTATTAGTCCAGAAAAAAAGCTATTTAGCCAAATTTGGCATTGCGTGCTAGGAGACAAGACGAGCCTGTAGCTTCAGGCAAACAAGTATCCGATATTGCGCCAGAGTATGTTCTTCAATTATAGGCTGTGAAAGCAGCAGATGTGCCAGTCTTTACAATACCATTAAGTACATCTAATATTAGTGGGACTAATTTTGGTAATTCAATAATGAATGTGGGACCAACTCAAACCAGAGAAGATTTAATATTCGCACAGTTCCAAGCCGGACATATTCCTGACTTTATGAGAAATGCTATTCCTGTCACAGTAACAGCTGGAATTGATACACTAACATACTGGGTTCTTCCAGATGTACTCTGCATAGGCACAAATACAGATTACTTAAGAACGCCACTTAATCCATTAACGGCAAAGAAAGTTGCAGATCTATTTAGTTGTGTTCTGCCAACAAAGAAAATGGCACAACAAATTTGGCAAGCAGCCACAATTAAGCTAAATCCAAATCCAAATGGTGCGCCATACGATGCGACTATGATGTCAACAGAAAGAATGATATTTCATAATAAAAAAGTTCAAGCTGCACTTGCTAATAAAGTTCCAGGTGAGTTGGTAACTGGTCATAAAAAAGACGTAGTCATTTCTGTTGCGCTATTAACTCATCCAAAGAATGTAGCTATTGTGGGATGGTGGTACCCATCGGGACAAATGATTCAACCATTAAATGCAGTATCACATGATCGTTATTATAAAGACTATAGTCACGGCATACGACTAATTAATCGTATGGTAACAATAAATGGACAAGGGTACGATATATATGATGTATTACGCAATAAAACACTTGCAACTTTAATAAGTGATGAAGGTCCGTTTGATGCCACCAAAATGTACACATAAAATATTATAACAAGGGGCTGAAAAGTTTTGAGAGAAAATGTTTCATTTTTTTTCCATTAAAAACATTTAAAAAGATTGAAAAATAGTATGATAAAATCGGAATTTTATAGACTTTCAGAATGTTTCAAAATTTTGCTTTACTTCTCGATACAAACCTAGACACTTTGAAAGTTATTAAAAGGACAGAATATTTTTTCTGGACAAAAATAAATACACATTTTTCTTCCTCTGCTACTTTTCAGTTCCAGCTGCCGCAATATTTTCTACTACAAATGATTTCACGTGTTTGTTACTATTCAATTGATCATGAATGAATTTAACCTTATTATACATCAGTAGATAGATGTTCTTGAGTTTTTGTTGAATCAAATTTTGATGGGATGGCTGTAATTATTTGTTGAATATTGTTCATTTGAGAGATGCATGATGAATTGTTGTTCAATCACCGCATCAGCCTTTTCATTTGGATATCTGGATAAACAACCAGCCACACAATTAGATTTGCCAGATGTATGTTTAATATCGAATGCTCTACAAAATGACGCTAGATTTATTTTGGGACTGCCATATGTGTAGTCTCTTTTTTAAAATATACTGGAAAAAATGAAATGTTTTAATTTTCTATTATTTAGTCCTAGATAGTTAAACATATTATTATGTTTAAATACATGATCTTATAGAGTAAACATCCGTCTTTCAAATGAGCTATAAACCAGTCATAGGAGTTTCATAGTTTTGGGGAAAATTAAAAATACAAAGATTAGTGAAAATTCGCGTTTTGACGATTAATCGGCGACTTCTAATAGAATGTTTTGTCTCTAGTCTCTAAATAAAACACTTTCAGGAAAGTTATTGTAGCAGGCTTAGTGGTAATTTTGAATGCTCTTTCGAGTGACATGTGAATAATTAAAAAAAAGAATTTGTTTTAAAAAGTCTTACGGCACTTAGGAGCTATTGGACGAAAAAACGACCGATTACCATAAGACCATGCTCAAACGATGTTCCAGATTTGCTTATAACTAGTCCTGCCTTGTTCAGCATGTGTGAAAACCTATAAATTCCAATTTTGGGTTGGTGATATCGCATTTTGTTCAGAATGTTGGGCTCTTTCCAATTATGTAACTTAAAACTTTTTTCGGTAGACTTAAGGGGTTTCTAGAAGCCCCCAAAAGTGTTCCGGAGATCCTTACAAGACACCAAACTTCTGAGACCGGATTCGAATAGTCTACACTTGAATATTTATGAAAAAGGGCTTCTTGTTTTATACTTAAGCCACACGCTCGAGAACGGCGTCAGAGAACGGCGTCATACAATACAAACTTCTAAGGTCCTCAGAAGACCCTCCTTGTCGGGTTGAAGGTCCGAGGTAAAAACGATCTGATCGTATTATCGGATAGACCGTGCAATGGACCACATAGGATGAAAAAATCCCTGTACCATCACATGTCTTCTCAGAGAAAGAGAACCTTGATTTTTGCTTTCCATTTTTCAGACGGGCCAGATAAATTCTACGTTTGGTCGGGGCGAGCCGGGCTTGGTTCTTCGCTTCAAACTTTCATTGCCGGGTAGTGCGGATCTCTGTTCAGTACTTAATCATAATTCGGATTTACCATCAAAGAAGGTTAGTAATGGATATTGTGCTAATTTTTGCTTTAGCGTTTGAAATGTATATTCACATTCTGTGGTCCAAATAAGTGCATTTTTATTTTTAAATAAGTTCGGTGGAGCCGCAATACTTGAAAGGTTGTGTATAAATCGATAAAATAGTAACACTTGAAGGAAAGCATACGTTGCCTTAGTGGATGTTGGTACTGGAAAATCAATCATTTTCCTCGCATTTGTTCATGTTGGGTTAATACCGTTTGATGTAATACGACAATCAAGGTAATCGAGTTCTTTCCAGGCGAATATGCATTAGCTGATATTTAGTTTAACATTTGTTTTTTCAAGCGCATCGAATACCGTATCAAGATGCTTAACATGTTGTTCAAATGTTGGAGAATAAACACTAATATTGATGATTGACTTGAACAACATCTTACATTATCCAGTATGGAATTAATGGCCCGTTGGAATGCCGAGGGCGTATTGGATAGTCCAAATGGTAATCCATTATATTCATATAGCGCGTCAGTGGTTACGAACCCTGTTTTCTTTTTTATCCACTTCGGCTATCGGTATTTACACGAAATGTGCTCTTACATAAATCCGTATTCCACACAACAACCGCAGACGTTTATCGTCACCACTCATACAAATCGCACAGTTGAGATCAGTCATATGTTGTCTCATTTACCAGAACAGCAAAAGCAACAACTGAAACCAATTTTAAAGAAATATTCATCGACACATCCACTCGGTAAACCATACACGCCAAAAACATCGAACATTGCCTTTCAATTCAAATGCATCATCAACCCATTCAGTCGTATCCATCTCATAAACCACATAAGGAAACACAAATCATTGAACAAGTTCCAGAAATGGTGAAAATCACGTTATTCGACGAAGTTTTAGTCCGTGGTCATCACTGGTCGTCATCATCAAAAAGAAAGATGGTACACAGCGATTTTATGTGGATTCTAGAAAATTAAATTTAATTACTGCAGGAGATGTTTATCCATTATTAACGAATCGCTGATACTATCGGCAAACTAGCTGGTTCATATTGCTTTACTACATTGGATTTAAAGGAAATTCTTTATAAATAGGAAGTAATCGAAACATGCATTAACAACGTTTAGTGCAATTTATTCTGGGACACCCGTGAAATGACTCATTACAAGAACGAAGTGGGTTTTTTCTCGTTACTTCTCCCGTTAATTTTTTTCCCGCTCTTTTACACCTAAAGTATCTTATGCATACAGATGTATTTGTTTATCATTCTTCAACTGTTTAGGATGCTTTTACTGCACTTGAAAACAATGAATTACTTTTCTCCACGAAGAAACAAAGTAAAAGAAAGAGAAAGAATCCAATCGATCGTTTGTGTTGTATGACTCTGAAAGAGAAAATAAATACACACATTTCATCACCTAAAATCACATTTATTTCTGGCTACCTTCACAGCTGCGATATGAAAACAAAGAAACAATGATAAAAAGAACCTTAAACGAACAATCGCTATATTTTATGAAATATATAATTTTGAGCGATTTGTTTTTAAGATGAATATCCAGTAGAAATAAAAATTGAATCATATCAGAGTAAATGATGTAAAGGGTGGAAACGGTTTGCAGATGGTATACAAATCGTTTAGAATTATTCGTCCCGTGCACTTACTCAAGCTAGTTTCTTATCACACTGTTAGAAATATAGAAAATTTATTCACATAGGTTTTAAGTTCAGCTGCATTTTTCTGTATCTCATGTAATAAGACGAACATATCATGTGTATATTGGTAGTAAAGTGCCGGACAAAAGTTTAAGACCACTTTTATTTCTGAATTTTCTTATGAACAAAAGTAGCCAGAGGATACCCGACGACAGATTTGTGTAGAGAACACTTTGGAGTAACTAGAACTAGACACAATAAAAGAATTCTAATTTAAAAAAATGAACCTTTAACGATTTTAAAAACATTAAAATTTTCAAATGTTTTAGAATTAGTTAAACGTCATTTCTGATCATTTAGCAAGATAAAGCAGACTTTTCATCAAAATGAGTCGTTTCGCAGATTTTTGCGACCCGTTTTCACCGAGTTATGACGTTTTTCCAGAAATGACTTTTAACTAGATTTTAAAAGATTTGAGAATTTTAGGCTTGTTAAATCTTTAAAAGTTCACGTTTTTAATTTGGTTAAATTTAGATTGAAATTGTTTTATTGTTTCTGGTTACTTCAACCTGCTCTCTACTGGTAGGTGACCTATGAGACGTCAAATTTTAGAGACCCCTCGTAAAAGAAAATATATTTTTAATCTAGTAGCACCTTAGACAAAAACTTTTCTGCAATTCTGATAAGAATTTTGTTCGATTCTTATCAAATTCTTATATAAGGTTACGCAGCAAAGTGAATGGACTTTGATAAGAGTCTTGTTACTTGTTGCTTTGTGTTACAAAAAATGCTTATTCTTACCGAATTGTGATAAGAAGTTTCTGACATACTTTGTCCTTGCAAGACTCTCAGGAGAGTAAAATTTCAAATTATTTTGGACAACGGATAATTTAACGATTCCTTTTTACACAGCGAAACAGTAAGATTTATTTTCAAATTATTTTTTGCACAATTCAGATGCACTACTGACGTAGTTTAACTTCTTGGGCAAGGATTGATAGAAATCTAGTAAGATTCTTATGTGAATCTCATTTGATACTTACAAGTTTCTTATAACACTCTTAACTGATGTTTATATAAGAACCAATGCCTAGGGTAATAGAAATTATAGTTCCATCGTGTGATATAACTATACTGGAACTACAACTCGAAAACATTATTAAAAATTTAACCTCTTTTCAAATGTCAAATGTTTAAGTATTTATACTGGTTCATGGATGAAAATGAGGGTGTATAAGAAGTAATTGATTAATATTAATATTGTGTGGTTGAAAACTGAATCTTTCATAGTTTGAAGCAGAAGAATTCGGAAAATTCCGTAAGGCATGTTACACTGGACAAATTCTAACTGATATGACATCATCATTTTATCACGCAAAAAAACTCAGTTTCCCGCTTGGGAACAAACAGCTTAACAATTTACATCCTACTCACTTCTTCGTCTTTCTCAAGGAAATACTTAATTGGGGTAATGTACCACTGATTATATAAGCAGGTTTTATACAACAGATTAAATATGACGAACGGAAAAAACACATATGACTTTTTTCTTTCTTTTCTTTTGCCTGAAGGTTTGTTCCCAGCTCTGTAATAACGTTACAGTATAACGTCATATTTTAGGATAAATTTCTCGAAAAAGTACTATATAATGAATATGTGTTCTTCTAATGTCTTCCTTGTTATACTCTACATCCTACAAATTTATTACGCAAACAATGGTTAATCTAATGTTAGATTCAATTTCTACTTTAACAGCAGTTGTAGCGAAACCATGTGGACGTCCTTCATGTAATATTAAATTGCAAAAAGAACAACAGATACATAGAACTAAGCGTCCACAACCGAATGAACAATTCGAAGATGATCAATTATTACAAACATATGAAGTACTGGATGGTTATGAAGTTGAAAAACAAGGTTATACTAATAAATGTAAAAAGATGATGCGTTGCCTATCGTTACCTTTGGGATCTGGTAAAGATGTACCCGATTGTAATTTATTTGAGCATCGTTTGAGTAGACAACATCAAAAATGCCTTATGGCAAGTAATCATCGTTACATTACGATGCTTCATTCAGATAACGATTCGAGTATAGAGATGACTGATACTTCGACCATTTCACCTTCCATAGCGATCAAGGATTTTTATGAAAAGTATACTAAATTATATGAAACATTAACAATTCTCACAGGTGAAATACAGACTCTTACGTCCGACAAAACACAATTGACAACAGAGCTATCTAATTTGAAATCATCTGTTGATTTCGCTCATCAAGAACAGCTGAAATTAAAACAATCGGAACAAGAAAAAGATGCATTCATCAACGGGATGCAAGTGAATCAAGAAATTTTGCAGCAAACTCTGACAGATTTAACTCAAAATATAGAAAATGCACAATCAACATCGTATGATGGCACATTTACTTGGAAAATTAAGAATGTTGCAGAGCTGACGATGCATGCTCAATCAGGACGACAACCGAGTATTTATTCTTCTCCATTTTACTCATCTTCAACAGGTTATAAAATGTGTATGCGTGCATATCTAAATGGAGATGGTAATGCCTGTAGAACACATTTATCACTTTTCTTTGTTGTGATGCGCGGTGAATACGATGCCATTTTAAAATGGCCATTTCATTTCAAGGTCACGTTTTGTATGTTTGATCAGTCTGGACAACAACGTCATGTCATCGATTCATTTCGTCCTGACGTAAAATCAAATTCATTTCAGATACCCAAAACACAAATGAACATTGCCTCAGGCATCCCGAAATTCTTTCCGTTACCGACGTTGCAACAAGACGGAAATAATTATGTGAAAGATGACACACTCTTCATCAAATGTATTGTGGATTTCACCGATCTCCCGAAAATGTTGTTACCCTACTGGTTAAACTTAAATCCGGGACTGCCGACTGACGTGCAGAACAAAATGATCAAGACTGAAGCTGAACGAAGACAAGAAAATCAGCAGCAATTGCCTATATCCACATCAACTCCATGCGGTTAAATAGAGAATTGTCGTCTTTAAGAATAGTAAACAAATCCAGTCATAAAAGCAATCATTCATCAGATTAAGTTAGTCAGATGAACAAAATCTTGCGTACGAGAAATCTCTGTGATCACGAAATCTTCTCATATAAAACGAGCTTATTTGGTTTCAGAATCAGCTAGTTTGTGTGATTTTCTTCTCTGAATCGTTGTGTATAGTTTTTATTATTAAACTCGAAACTTAATTCTTTCAAAACAACTTAACTATCGGACTTCCCTTGACTGAATGGTCTAGGGAAAACGGCGATTTCATTATGTTGATTATAACTTTTTTTCTTTTCAACTCTTAGACCTGATTGTTTTTCTAAAAGATGTGCCATCAAATTCTCTACAAAACTTGATCAGACTGATTTCTAGAGAAAGTTAAGGAGAAAAAACACAGAATACTCAGCATGTAGAAACGGAACAAACTTTCTAAGCTCAACAACCGTTTTGTCAAACTACTTTCATTAAGATGTGCGCTATAGAAGAATGATAACATACGCATGCTATAGCCCTTGGAAAGTTCTATCAATCAGTATTGGGTGAAATCAATCTTTGAGACCTGCATCGATTTTCTCTTCTTTGAGACTTTCGAAAACTCTGCTGTTTGATTCTGTAGTTTCAGAGCTCCTGGAGAGCATAACGAAGCCAAAATAGCATCTTTTAAGCTTGGCTTTTTTCAAATTTTACGAGCAATGACTCCTAAATCAGATTCACTCGGGAAAATTTACGTTAAAATTTTCTTCTTAAATTCAGCTGGTGGAAAAAAAGCACAGTTTGGCCATTTTGAAATAAATTTTTAGAATGCTAGATTTTTCAATGCTCATTTTGATTGGAACGAATTTTGAATTGCATGAGGAGAAACAGCACGCTCGAAAGTACTCAAAAACATTTCACTTCTGCTTTGTTGTGTTTAGAGCTGTCCGAAATACTCAAAAGTTTGTAAATCGAAATAGCTTCTCAGTCAGACACCTATATCTTTTGAAAATTAGTTTTAACGCAGTTTTAGCATTCACAGAGTGCGAGAATATACAGTTTCATCATGAATACGGCGAATTTCTTCCCTAGTCCAACATCTTGCCCAAGATCTTACGTTAAGATTTGGCACTAGATCTTGAAAAAATGTATACAAGATCTCAGGACATTTTTGTACCCAAGATCTTACGCAAGACCTTGGGTACAGATATTTTACAGTACAGACAGGATCTTAAACATTTGAAAAACCATCATATTTCAAAACTTTTTTCTTTGCATTTTTTCAACAAGTGTTGGGAACAAAAGAAATTTGCTGCTCAGTGGTGAACATTTCATCCGCTAGGACGAACGGTCCCTAATGCCTCCCTAGATTCTAGAAATCTTATACAATATCTGCAATAGGGATGCAACGGTAACGGTAACCGCACCTTACTGATTACCGTTACCGGTCCAACCGCACCTTACCTGTTACCGTTACCGGTCCAACCGGTTCTTACCGGTTACCGTTACCTGTAGCAATAAACTTGAAAAACAAATGGAATATTTGCTACATAATTCAAAACACAAAATAAATGTTTCTTTAATCACAGTTCTCTGTTAATCAATATAACGTTGAAGAAAAACACTTTTTAACATGGA